TTTGCTTCAATCAATATTTCCATGACTTCCTCTCTGAGCTTTTCAACTAGTATTTTAGACAGGCCACCACTGAAGAGAGTTTAAGAGAAACTAAAGGCTTTTACAAGACCACCTGACATAGAGCCATCATGTGCCGCAACTAAATTGCACTTTCTGTATGTTTTCTCATGTTTCACATGTACCTGCTTGCCTGAATGTTGCCAAGTCTGAGTTTAAACTTGAGTTGTATGTCGTCTGTACCTGTCTGTCTGCCTGCCTCTCAGACAGGGAGGAAAAGGTGGACATTGTTATGAAGTGCTGGTGGATCTTTTTGCCGAGAGGATTGTAGTGTCTCCTCTCTGCCTGAACCCTTTTCCAATTCTCAGTCAGAATCAGTAGACAGTCACTCCACAGTTCACTTTAAGTGAACAATGCAGTAGTGGACCATTATGTTGGTGTTATTGACATTAGTCTGATTTCCCAGTCTGTGCATCTGTGAATTACTACACTACAGTGAGATTAAAGTGGTCTCAAGTCAGTGTTCCAGTGTACTTTTGGTTTGGTCCATAAAGTGGTGAACAACGTTCATCAGTGCCAAACCCCAAGCTGACGTCCTCAAATGTCTTGTTTTGTACACAATCGAAAGACATTCAGTTTACTGTCACAGAGGACGAAAGAAACCAGAAAATATACATACCCGAGAAGCTGAAATATGAGAATTTGAAATTTTACTTGCTATCAAAATAGTTGCCAATGAAATTCATAGTTGAGAACTAATGAATTATTAAGTAACTGATGCAGCTGTAACTGAGTTACCTCACCTAGGAAAAAAGACAACAGCACAAAATAGCTTGAACTCCTGTGACCCCTGCAAACTACCCAGGTGGCCTCCTGATGAAGGAGAGGATTAAAAATGGTGGTTAAACACAGTTTTTGTTATTGGTCCTCTGTATCTGTTCTCAGGTAAACGACAGAAGCAAGCTCACCTTATATCCTGAAAGTCTAGTTGCTGTACATCGTTGGAAAATGTTGTCAAATATCCTACCTGGGGGAAGGAAACTTCATTTTAATAAATGTCAGTATTTAATAATTGTTCATTAAAATCAACATAAAAATTAAAAAACCTTTTGCAGTTGAGCAACAAGCTAATGTGCGCAGTTATTAAATAATGTAACGTTAATATGGCTGATTTTTGTATATGTCCAGGGATGTATTTGAAAGTTAAACATGTGATGACAGCATGTCCTTAATTTATTTACACAAGACTTGAACAGTACACACATATTGAGTAGGATGAAAGTGATGTTTTAGGTAAAGTGACAAAGCAATTAGCAGCTAGCTAGAGGCAGAGTGTTGAACAAACGACGAAACGCTGTTATTTAATAACTGCGTAGTTAAGTGACATTAGCTTGTCGCTTGTAGTTAATTGTAATGCGTAAAAGGTCAGACATTTCAATTTATCAATAACTTTTAAATACTGACAATTATTTTTAATGTGTGTATACTTCGGTAACAAATGAACTGTGTCCATCCCTCAGGTAGGCTACTTTACAACAGTTTCCAACAATGTACGGCAACTACACTTTCAAGATATAACGTCAGCTTATTTCCGTCGTTTACCTGAGAACAGATTGAGAGGCCCACAAACAACAACTGTGCTTAACCACAATGATACAACAACCTTTTCTCGTCTTCTCCAGGGCGCCAGGTGAGGTCTTACCTGGCTGTTTCCTGAGTCCACGTTATTCCCTCACAGACACTGCACACAGCATTCCTGAGGTGGGATGTCAACACTCGCCAGTCGGGCTGAACTGTGAAGCCAGCTCTCCACATCAGGTCGTATGTGAGCTCCTCCGGGTGAAATCTGAGAACCAAGAGCCTCCTGCTTCTCCAGCATGGGCGTGGTAGTCCGCTGAGGGCTATAAAAACTCCACAGAGCGCACATCGCCAGGACTAGGGAATACACACTGATTCAATGCAGTCAGTACATGTCCCAAAGGATTTATAGGACGTCTGCTTCACCTCACTAGATCATAGAACTTCTGCTACAATACATGTGACATATGTCAATGGATTTTATTTTAATGACCATTTTGCACTCCACGGCCTGCAGAAAACACTAGTTAATTTTAGGCGATTAGCTGTCCATGAAGACTGCATTAGTGTATGCTTTGATATTTCCAAACAGCTGTGATGGACCACTCTGAGGTGTGTGTAACTTCATTGCAGTGAGCACAAGCATGGCTGTCTAATTACAATAGAGATACCTCCTGCAAGACAACTTCCAATTACAAATTTACACTGTAAGATTTTAAATGCAAGAACTTCTGAGGGAAGTAAGATTAAACGGCTTTCAGCCCTCTTGAATGTACTCTTGACTGCCATAAATGTAGGAGTACTTGAGTAATAGATGAGATTAGAACCAGGCCTCAAGAGATCTGTGCGCCCTGCAAGGCTAGTTAATCAAGTTAGGTGTAAATAAACTGAATTACTACAATGATAGCTCATGTTAGCATGGCATATTGACTAATGGGTAAACTTAATTAATGTAATGAAATGGATGACCAGGAACGCAATAAAATCTAAGTTGAAAAAGGAGGAAATGGATATGACATTATTACACATTCTGAAGTCAAATATTATGTTTTTTCATTTTATTTCTCAATGTGTCGCAACAATGCTGCATTTCACAGGAAATCATGACAGAAAAACATTTTAAAAAGTTCACTTGATGGCTTTCAACTCAAGTACTTTAGCTACATAACTGATTAAATCATGAAGGATTTTAGCTCTTTAAAGTTTTCTTGACTCTAGTGACATTAACAAGGCACATTAAGGTATAATCATTTCACATCCCTTTAAAAAATAAAAAATGACTGGAGTGCACTTCATAACTCCATCTAAATAAATTTGACTAAAAAATACCATACTGTGAAGTTCCAATATCAAGACATTGACTGTATCACTTTCTACGGGGGGGGGGTCTCATTGTGACTCTTTGTAATGTGTAGTACTCACTGACAGATCTGACTCATGCGGCTTGATTTCATACTTATTTTACAATGTCACATTTGAGATAACACAGAGTAGGCTTATAGGGCTGAAACAGTCAATTCATTAATTAGTTGATTGGCAGTAAATTAGCCAGCATCTAATTTGATATTCGACTTCAAATAATTTGTCATTTTTCGAGCACAAAGTTTCACAAACATGAAGATGTGCTGCTGTCTTTGTCTTATGTGACAGCACCTGAATATCTTTGGGTTTTGAACCAAAGACGTAAAGTCGTCATCTCAGGCTTTTGGAAATTGCAATGTGCATTTGTCATCTTTTTTAAAGACATTTTTTAGTGCAAACAATTATTCAATTAATAACAGAATTAAAAAAAATGCAGAATAACCTGCAGATGTATTATTACTAATTGTAAGTTGCAGACATATTTTTTTTTAAATGTACTGTTAGCTCTGATAACTCAGCACACAAAAAGGAGAACAGCAAAGCCATCTGCAAAAATACAAATCTGAGGAACTATATTATACATCTATTAGTAATCCAGTTTTTACACAAAATAACTTAAGGATGTCCCTTTCTTGGAAATCTGACTACATACTTACGGTAAAGAAATACTGTCATCTGTTAGGTTCCCACTCTGCATTACTGGGATACCAGGACACTTCAAATTCTAGTTGATTTTCCAGACACTTGTAACCTCATTATCAGTTTCCTAACTGGAGCCGGTGCCACTTCACAGAATGCTATTAATGTTATATATACACATATGTATGTAGGTATATATAACAAAGTGAGAGGATCTTCCCACAGTGTGACAAGTATCTAGAAAAGAAAAATGACCCACTACAATTCAAGGTGTCGAAGTACCCCTTTAAAGCTGTAGCACCCTCTCTCCATACATCATACTTAGTCGACACGTGGATGTATTCTTGAAGCTCCCTTAAGGCAAAAGATCATAACTTGTGTCACATGCACAGTAATGTACAGCTGATAATGAGGCCCTGGCCTGACCTGAAGACTTGATTGGTGGAAAGAAAGAGCTGAAGAGGCTGTTCACTCTTTCTGTGGCAGTGTGTCCCAGACTAAACCAGTTTTTGGAAGCTCTGAAGCTTTGACGTCACTGTTCAAACCATTAGAGGGAAGAGTCGAAAAGGTGTGAGTAGCAAGAAGACTTCATTGGCCCGCAACCTGTGATGTCAGTGCAGGGTTATTTCTTGTTCTTCGTCTTCGTACTCCTCGGCAGTCGAATCCCCTCTTTCGTCTCCGTTCTGCCGCAGTAATGGCAACGCGAGCTCTGGGCTCTTACTGTTGAGCTGCCTTAAAGATGGGCCCTTACCTGATGGAAAATATCACAAAATGGACATTGTCAGCATGATCAGAACTTCTTTAATTCCCCCACCATTCAAATGTATTTGCCCACTGTTCTGCATCTTTGAGCTTCAGTGTGCAGAGTTTGACTGTTTTCACATTCATCTACTAGTTTTTCTGTTCACCTTAAATTGGATTTTAAGCTGTGTGCATACGGGCAGGATTTAGTTTTAAAGCCAATAATTGTCCAGTATGCAACTTAAAGCGTTGGAAACTTAAAGCCTGAGAATGGACTTTTCAGTGAAGTAGGAGACATCTTTCGTCCAGAAGTCAGAGGTCCAGTGTGTAAGATTTAGTGGCATCTAACTCTGCAGATGCTTTTGCTTCAAGCATGGAGTAGAAATTACAGTGAAAAAATGCCACAGCCTTATCCAGAGCCAGTGTTTGGATTGTCCATTCTGGGCTACTGTAAAAACATGGCGGTTAAACATGGCGAACTCCACGGAAGGTGACCAGCAACACCTATAGATATAAACGGTTCATTCTAAGGTAACAAATACACAACAATTCTTATACTCAGGTGATTATACACCAATGAAAACATACCTATGGATATTATATTCCATTTCTGCCAAAAGATCCTCCCAAATGTTACACACTGGACCTTTAATCTTTTTAAATGAAAAGTATTTACACATTCCCAGGTTCTGGATTTTTAAATGAGGGAGAAGGAATATATGTAATTTTTATAATTTGTTTGTGGGAAAAAAAACATATTAGAGAAAGGTTGTAAGTTGTAAGCCATTAGGGTAGGTTTTTTTTTTATGAAAAGGTGGAAATAACAAAAAATAATTGATAAAAATAATGATGATGACAATTGATGATGATTTGAATTGAGATATATGATCAAGTGATTTGATTTATTTAAAGCCATTTTGATTCAAACTGTCATGTTATGATGAAAATATTGTTTCATCATTTTCCCCATCTTACAGTCATCATTCACGACACAAAATTGTCATTTATCATTTAAGAAAAGTGGCCTAAAGTGCAGGAGCAACAAAACGTTATTGAAAAAAAGTGATGAAATGTAGGTAAAGTGAAAAACAGAGTGATAATTTGTCAGTTGACTTGATTTGATAAACTTGATTTGATAAACTTGATTGGGATTTTATTTGAAACAGCACTGCTCTGTAATCAACTAAGCTGTGTGTCTGCAATTCATCATTTACTCACATTTACAGCAAGGATTTGCCAAAATGTCAATCAAAAACCACGCCCACTTCAGTATGACAAACGATGAATGTAAGACGTATAATATCACAACTGTTTAAATCAAATTGGCTTTAAATGAATCAGATCACTTCATAATTTATCACTGCTTTTCAATTCACATGCATTTTTGGTACTTCCACCCCTCACAGTTTTTGAATATTTGTTTGTCTCTTATGTTATTGAGAAAACAAATTTTAACAGTATACTGAACAATAACAATAAAACAGACCACTTACTTTTGGAATAATATGTCTTGACTCCCACATGCAAGGAAATGCCACACAGACACACGACGAATCCCAGCCAATTAAGCGTGCTCATCTTGTCTCCCATCAGACGTGCTGCCAAAAGCATAGTACACACCTCCTACAGAAGAACAAGACAATCAGAGGAACAAATGAAAGGGTGTATCAGAAAGGTCTGAACCAGACTAGCACACAAAGATGTAATGCTCTTTACACAGCAGAAAATAAAACTTGCCCAATTCGCTTAAAGCTGATCCAGAAACTTGGCGTTTCTACATTTTCAGAGATAAAATTCTAGTACAGTTTAGCATACTGTAGCCAACACAGTAAGCTGACATATTAAACTCAGCTGTGTCAGGTTCTCTAGCTTTGTTGGCTTAGTTGATTGACTGATTAAAAACTAAAGTCATACTACACGCACAATTATATAGGTACCTTAAAGATCCCTGATATGGATAAAGTGAGGCTGGATGTCCGGGAGACTAGGAGGAACTCTGAGAAGCCTAAACCAAAGGCCAGTGCACCGCCGATACTCAGTGTGAAGAGTGAATACAGGAGAGGTGAGAGCTCCGTCACCCGGAATAACTTTTCTGAGCTACAGAGGCTCAGCCCTGGAAACAAGACGGAGAAGAGGATGTACAGTGATGTTTACATGGGTTGGTTATTTTATTAGCCATTGTTATTCATATTCCAGGATGGAGGAGGAAGTCAAATTAATTGTAGAGCTTTTTTTTCTTTTCCAAAGGAAGACACAGCACTTGATACATGACAATTTTAGCACAGCTTGAACCAGCAAGGGTTTCTCATAAACTATGAGAAAAGAAAAAAAGTATAAACATCTGACATTTAAAGCACAGAGACACATAATGGACAGTTACTGACAACATTTTGAGTAGGGTACAGCTCTATAGTGTTTATATAGCGCGGGGAAGTGAGATCCGATCACAAGTAGTTAGTCAAGATGGATGTGGAGATGCATTCTAATGCCAGGTGTAAACAGGTTACAGGTTGGGCGCTGTTGGCAAGTACAGGAAATATGTCAAACTACAGCTTAAGACTATGCTCACCTTCATTATATAGGAAGAGGGGAAAAAGGCCAAGGAACATGAGAGGTTGTAGGTGGTACATGGTGTCTATTGGGTTCTGAAGGCCTGGAGAAAAGTACAATATGAAATTCAAGTTCAAAGTGGAGGAAAGTGTGGTAAGAAACATGCTTGAATTTAGGTGTTTATGCCCACAAGGTAAAGTAACTATAACAGGAATGCTTTATACATATTTATCGTTTTCAAGTTCTCAGTGATTCAACACTGACCCAGCTCTGCTTTCTGCATGAGGACCTGAGTGAGGGTCCAGCGGATCCCCCCTATGAAGGACGCCAGCAGCACCATGATGAAGCCCTCCAGGTTGAACTGTGTCGACTCATATGTAAACATAAACAGACCACAGGAGATCAGGAGGACCACCAGGATCAAGAATGGGTTCTGGTACAAGGGGACAATGAGAAACAGCAGGAGAAGTTTCAGTCAGTTTAGGTATAATGTTTACAATGTTCACCACCTTAGTTTAGTGTGTTAGCATGCTAATATTTGCTAATTACAGCTAAATACAAACTACAGCTGAGGCTGATGGAAGTATATAAAGTATCACCAAGGTTATTTCAATTTATCCTGCCATACTGAACAACTTACATAAAAAGTACTCAACTGTCCTCCAGATCCAACATACAAATGACAAGCACCATTCCTTTTGTTGTTCATCTGGTCATTATTACCAACAGCTCTTTTTACCGAAGAAAAGTGCTGGCATTAGTTATGGTTGCTAGGAGATTTTTTTTTTATTCCAACAAGGCTATTCAATGATTTTTTTATACGGACAGAAGTAGCATGTGGTCATGTCCATTAGCAGGTCCACACAGCAGGAAATAGTACCCAAGAGAATTGTGGTCAGACTTTATTTCACCTTTACAATATATTAATCTGATTAAAAAAGCCTCTATTATCATCATCATCATTCTTTTCCCCTATGTTCTCAACTTTATCTTCCTCTCTGTCTCACTGTAACATCCATAAAACATCGCATCACATCGTCTGTATGCTCACTGCATTTCATTCTTCAATACGGTCAGTATGAAAACGGAACATAAATCAGGTAGAGACAATGATAGAATTGTTTCTTCGTGCCTTTTGTAAAAACTGGTTTATTTTAGGCATTTGTGCGGCCAATACACCATTTCCACAAAGAAAAAACAGCCACTCACCGGCTCCTCTAGTTTAAATACCAGCGAGAAAAAGAGGATAAAGAGCACTGCTGAAGACTTGGTCATGGTGTACCTTGAATGACACAAAAGAAGAGACACATAATTTGGATGGAACATAATTGGATGGAACAATTATGACCTGAAGTTTATCAGTTCATACTGAAGTAGTATATTCTATTAGAAAAGCTAAAGCACAAACTTACAAGCTAATGGTGATGAAGAGGAAGCTCCAGTTGGAAAGTCCAATATCCAGTGCTGTTGCCAGGGCTGGGTAAGAGGGACAGAATTTAGGACTTTTAGAAGACATACACCTTGCAATAAATTATGTTCTTGTATTACTATGCTGCAACTGTCAACTGTGAACAAGAAGGTAGTGTATCAAAGTGAAAACACATGCTTTGTAATAGTTTACATGTATAGGTACAGTGTGTAACATTTAGGAGGATCTATTAGCCGAAATTGAATACAATATTCATAGGTAGGTTTTCATTCATGTATAATCGCCTAAAAATAAGAATGGTTCTGTTTTCATTACCTCAGAATGAGCCATTTTTATCTACAGATGCTGCGTGTCGTTGAACCTCCATGTTTCTATAGTAGCCCAGAATGGACAAACCAAAACACTGAGAGAGCTTCTGGATGCTACTAAATCCTACACACTGGAACTTTAATTGAATAATTGTGAATCCTACTAATTTTAGGATTTAAGCTGGAAAACTGTATGGCGTCTTTTGATGTAAATGAGTATTTCCATAACAAATTAAAACCACATTATCTCATTTGTGATGGTTATGCTGTATTGGTTCATTATAACCTCCCCCAAGCCAGTGGTTCCCAAACTTTTTCCTTAAGTGACCTCTTTTATGTCATTTAGTAAACTGATGACCCCGTTAAAGTTACATAGTTTATGAATATTTCATATTATTTTCAAAACTGCACAATGAACCCAAATAGCGAACGTAATAAATGCAAGACATTTGTGTAAAATATGTGATTTGGATGAATTTTGAGCAGATTATTTCCTAAACTTTTTATACAATTCCCTCTCTGCATTATGTATTTCGTATTATTTAACCATGATACAAACTTAATAGGCTTCTTTTTTTAGCAAATACAATGTGTTCTTGTCCCCGGTGGTTGGCCATTGTTCTGTTTGACAATTTACTTTACTTTTACTTTTCTGAAGCAAATGCTAAGACATAGGCCTACTGGGTATATTATTAAGTTTTCTAGCACACCTTAAAATGAAGAGGGCCTTGCGACCCCCAGGGTTAGGAACCACTGCCCTAAGTTGTGATGTAATGTTTGTATCAATATGGACTTTAGTCGGTGAGCATGAGTTTAGCCCAAGTGTTCTTCAGTGAACATGATAAGAGCTGACTATCAGTCCCTGTTCTCTGAATACTTTGTGCTGCTTTCTGAACGGTTAGGGAAAACTCACCAGACTAAAACCTCACCTGTGGGAGACACTTTATAGAGGTAATCTGTCCAGCTCAGAACGATGCGGGGTTTCCCCGTCCAGCACTGCATGGCCCTTCGTGTCAGAGCCGACAGACAGAAGATGAGGGCGAGGTGAACCAACGTCATGAAGAGGGGATAGTGGAAGCCCTGAGAGAGAAACGGACAGGGTCATCTAGGATGGCCTAGCAGAGGTAGATTGTCCACAGTCTCTGACCTGCAGTACTTAAGGTCTCCTCCAAAAGTGAAACTATATAGGTTACCCTGGGTCCCAAGACAACACAAAAATAAATTCCACTTTAATGAATTTCATTTATCATCCCAAATAAAACCATGTATGTTGTACATACAGTGTTCTTGCTGGAAAAAACGATAATGCTTTATGAACTCCTTCACCTACCTTCATAAGCCATTTGTTATAGAAGGTGATGCCTATAGAGAAGACATAGTAAAGGAGCACTAATCCAACAGTGCGAAGCCCCCGGCAGAAGAACTGGACCGGACACGCCATATAGGGCTGCCAGGATCCGGGTCTTTACAGACAGCTACAGTGGAAAGGTCATCTCCAAACTGAATGTGCACCCCTTCCTAAGAGACCCACAGCGGACAGGGGGGAAGAGTTTACAGCTGAACAAGTAATATTTGGTTACAACAGTTGGTAAAAATAAGCCTGCAGCAATGTTAACTTCATCAAAAATCAGTGATAGCTAAAGTTTGACAACCACTATCTCTAGCCGTTAAAACACGTCAGCTTGTGGTTAAACCTCTATGAAACAAAGTACCTGCTGTCAACCACAGTTATCCAACACATTATTAAACAAAAGTTTCTAATTAGACCGCCTCAGCTAATATTAGCAGATGAACTCACCGGCAGCTCAGTCAACCAGATGCTTGTTTGGCTAAGTTTGACAGGTCCAATTGTTTTCTGGGCTAACCCATTAGCTGACATAAGCTTGCTGTGTAACGTTAGCGTACTCGTTATTATATTATTGATATAAGTTAATTATACTAGCCAAGTTACATCAATACAAAAACATAATAAGCGGTTTCCTGTTATTTTCTGGCGTGCAAAGTAACGCTACGCCCAATTAGCTTTCGTTATCACACGCTGCTGCATCTAACTTAGTGACAGAGTACACAGTGCGGTACGTGTCCTGTTTGTATGACGACACCCGCAAACCAAACTCCATTGATCAATCTCTCCATTGGCGGCGGCAGTGCTCTTATTTCCCATCTACAGGTCACACGCAGTGTAACCCAAGACCTTGCTCGAATCAGTATAAGCCATTCTTTGATTCGGCATTAACACAGCCCACCAAAAAGTAGTCTGATTTAGTTAATACATTAGGGGGTTTTCTGTTTAGGTTGTCGTTGCTTGCTACCTTCTCCCATGGAGGTTTTTACTAAAATAATGCGTACAAAGCGCAAAATAATTGAATAAAAGTGCGAGTAAATCAAGGTGTTACACTGGAGGACTGGACTAGCTGGCTAATTTACAGTGTAGCTAACGTTATGCAGTGATACACACACATACATTGTCATCTTTGTAACCGGAGTTTGGCCTTTGCCAGCAGCAAATAAAAAGATACATAATAAAGAAACATACCGTCCGTCATGTTGGCTATGTGGCTAAGTAGCATAAGCAAACTTTGTGGTGGAAGCCACCGTCTTCTTTTAACAAGAGTTAAATGAAAATGACCGCAGGGGGCAGTGTTTTCTAGAGCAAGCTTTTCTTTCCCCAAATCACTTCCACAGTCGAGGACTGGAACCAGAGCCGGAAGTCAACAGAGACCGCCGACTGTCGAGCTAACGTAGAGTTAAATACAAGGTAACGTTTTCTGCTCGAAATGATGCGCTTAAGTTAACTTTAGGACATTTAATGAAATGTTAACATTTGTCACTGCTCGGGGTCGAGGAGCATGTACGTGCCTGTAAGTTAAACCAACCTATCTGGGTGTTTTTCAGCAGAATGGCGGACGAGGAGGACGAGACTGGCTTCGACGAGGAGATGGAGGATGGATGCAGCGGAGTAGATGTCGGCCACGGGAAGAGGAAGAGGCTCTTCTCCAAAGAGCTCCGCTGTATGATGTACGGATTTGGAGACGACCAGAACCCTTACACGGAGTCTGTGGATATTCTGGAGGACCTGGTGATCGAGTTTATCACGGAAATGACCCACAAAGCTATGTCTATCGGACGCCAGGGCCGCGTCCAGGTGGAGGACATCGTCTTCCTCATTCGCAAGGACCCCAGGAAGTTCGCCAGGGTCAAAGACCTACTGACCATGAACGAAGAGCTGAAGAGAGCCCGGAAAGCTTTCGACGAAGCAAACTATGGCTCCTAACCTGACCGTGGGACACTTTTTGGACCTACAATATTTCTTTTTAATTTCTGTTCTACTGAAACAGTCATTCGCTCACCTGTGCTTTTGAGCAATTAGTTTAGGCCGGACTTTCTGTCCGAAGTCAGTGTTTTTTGTGATATGTGATGTACATTATTTTATATGGTGGTATGACAGTGATGGGCAGATGAACATGTCAGGCTATCTGGGACTGTTTAAATAAAGTAACTTACATATTTTCATCAGTCTTTATTTAAGTAGCAGAACACCCGTTCACTCTGGCAGTACAGTATGATACTGCCATATCACTGTAGATGCATTGATAGCACACTCTTCTGTTTTATCATTAAACCAAAAACAATGAACCACATCATCTTTGACTCTGGGAAAGAGTGAGTGAAATCCCACTCACTCAATCCTCCAATAATAATATAATAATATTATTATTATAATATTATTAACAGGACAACATTACATAACCACACTTAGGAGTTCTGGGCCTGAATAAAAGCTGGATCAATTATCTGGCATTTAAAGCTGCAGGAGGTCATTTTTATTTGCATGAGGAAGAGTACACGTTTTATGTGCCTCTTTATGCATCTGGCCCCAGGTGTGGACTCCTAAAACTGGTACCACCCTGCACTCAAAAGCCGACAGTATGTTCAAGACAAAACTGGCTGCGGTTCAAACAAAATGGACAAAAAGAAGAAATAAACATTTTATTGATATTCCTCAAAACAAAATTTTTACACAGACCATAAATATGACAGACCAACTACAAGTGAGCATGTGTTAGTTCATTTATTCTCTTCAAGCAAATTACTTCTTTGTACAGTGAAGTGGTTGAATTCATTGGTCTAAGCAGCAGGTTACAGGCCGCCGTTCTATCTAGACTAGATTCTAGATCAGAGCTTTACCAGCATGAGAGGAGGGGGTCGCTGATGACATGCACCTGTTAACGCAAGGCATACGCCATAAGGGTTTGTGCAGTGAATTTCCTCATTGCATCCATGGGTTGTCTGCAGTCACAAGCGAGCTGGGGGAAGAGTGTAGCCCAGCCAGCGACCCCGCTGCCGGGTGCCCTAGCTGTCTGTTGAGGATGTCTAAGGATGGAGAAGAGACGCAGTGAACCAGGTGGACAGGAGAGAGGAAAGGGAGCGTGTAGGGGGGGTGGTTTGAGTGGATCAGTAGGGGGACAGATGCGGTAAGAATGGGTGTTCACAGGAGGGAGGAGGAATGTCCATGAGTCTTTCTGGTTTTACTGCACATTCTCCATCATCTTGAGGAATTCTGGAAAAAAGAAAAGAGAGATGGGAAGTTTCAGTTACCATGGTCATCATCAGCTGCAAACTGCAGACAAATGTGTCCATCAAGGAGTTTTTTTTAACTTAACATGAGTAGTTCAAATAAACCATGTCTGTTTTCAAGTTGTGTCATTCTATTGTAAGGAGGCTCAGGGGTTTAAAGTTACTAAAACCTCACCCTACTAGTACCTGATATGCCATGGCACAACAGAAATATAAGAATACTTTTAAAAATTATAATGCTTTGCCACTCTTTATTGGGATAATTCATCACTGGAAAAGGGATGTGTTTACATGACACGTTCATCATGATCATCCACATACCATCAAAGTCCAGCATGCCGTCGGTGTTTTTGTCTCCATCCTTCATCAGCTCATCAATCTCCTCCTCTGAGATGGGCTCGCCGGTGCTGCGGATGATGAGGGCGAACTCCTCTCTATCGATGTAGCCGTCGCCGTTCCTGCGCAAAACACAGACGGGTGTGAAATTGTAGACGTGAACAAGTAATCACATGACAAAATAAAACACATGCCTTCATTAAACGAGTGCAGCACACCACGTGAACCACGTTACTGGTGTGAACGTACTTGTCGAACACACGGAAGCACTCTGCCAACTCTTCCTCGCTCTTGCCGGCCTGGTCCTCCTTTAGCAGCCTCACCATCATGACCAAGAACTCCTCGAAGTCAATGGTACCGCTACCTGAGGATGAAACACCATTGATTAACAATGGTCGGGCCGACCAAAGGCCCAGTGTCCTGCTGCGCTTCATGTGGGACACAGTGCGCTTGTCTTTGCGCACAACTTTACGCACGCACCACAGTGAAACATTGGAGTTAAGTGAACCTCGACATATATAATGTAATAATTTATATAATTAACAAAACCAAGAAGAAAACGGTCTGTTTAGACCATAAACATAAATAAACGTATTTAGGATCAGCAGTCTCTCTTTACGAGCAGAGTGCCTTGGCTCCAAATAATGTTAGATACAATTACTTGGTGTATTTGAGCTGATGTGGAGCACATGTAAAGTGTCAGAGTCATGTATTGCTTGTGCGTAAAATATGCGCAATGTAGGAATACTGTGCTGCTATCAGAGAGTACCCATCGCTCACCGTCCTCATCGACCTCCTCGATGATTTCATCCAACTCCTCTCTTGTCGGATTCTGGCCCAGCATCCTCATCACGGTACCCAACTCCTTGGTGCTGATATCACCGCCACCGTCGGTGTCAAACATGTCAAAGGCGGCTTTGAACTCTGGAGGGATGGAGTTGACAGAATGTGGCTAGTTACTCAGAAACTGGCCTAATTTCTCTGTACTTGGCTGTTCTTAAACCTGTTACTCCTGAACATTATTTCACTGTAGTAAGACAATTACATAAAATGCTCTTCTGCATGTCTAAATAGACTGAAAAACAGCGGAATCTGCCTCTGTGTACCGTTACAGTACTGAAGGAGCTCATTCTGACACAGGAGTAATAGGATGGTGTAACTGGGGTGACTGATATCTTGAAATTTTGAGGTGTGGTGACCGTGACCGTAATGTGTTGTATTACTTGTAACTGCTGGGCAAAGTAACGGCATCACTGAAGTAACGCCTTATTGTAGCAGCCTGTACTCACCAGCCAGCATTTCCTCGCTCAGGTAGGAGCGGGCCTCTTGTTGCGCGTCAGTCTGGAAGAAAACAGGGGCCACTTTGTCACTTCATCCTTCACTACAGGCTTCACTTACACTTCATTCATCACTCCAGTTAAAACTCTGTAGCCTATAACCTTTAAGCCAAATTCTGACACGGTGGCCTGAGCAGCAATTCCCATATTATGTAGGTTGCTGCCAGGTTTCATTTTTATTAAATTTAATTAATTATTTAATTAATTACCCCAAAATTGTAAAAAATGTAACATATCATCAACGTTTTTATGCTCAAACTATAGTAAAAAAAGGACTGTTTTAGGAATATCACAGCAATTACAATAATCTTCTAGAGATATTACTGTAAGTTTACGTTATTATATGATTCGTTTTTGCGATAATAACATTCTTTCATTAGTCATGCAGGATGTACTGCTGCGCCTCAGAAGGATTCCTGAGCTTGGTGAAAATTTCTCGGGCTATTTCTGGCTCAACACCTTATGGCTGGCTGTATATGGCCTGCAGACATCCAATCCCCGGGAATTTGTCGCCTAAGCAGAATCCGCACCTTCCCAGCTGACACCCACCCATCTCCCCATCTTCACTCTCTACCAGGATCAGTAATATTTGTAATAGATACATTATTAATCTTGCATTAATTAAGATTTCTGTAAAAATAAAATAAATTAATCTCAATTATTTATAATAGAAATGCATTATTTAGGGGGAAAAAAAGGCAAATGCTACTATTTTAAGGGAAGGCAACAGAAGAAAACATACTGCACAACAACTCAAGTTGATTTTTAGACTTCCACATGCCTTTATTACTCAACCACTTAACCTCCAATTTACAGGCTCTCCCCTTATTACTCCGCTTTAATAACTAATGGCTGGTTGTCTGACCAACCTGAAATAGCTCAACGGGTCATTTGCACAACTGATTGGTCTTACCATGTTTGTGGATTAGCTTTTCCCCCCCAAATATCCAAGGAAAAAAGAAAAGCCCAAAGGAGTGGTCAATCCGCGTGCACCCCAACAGAGAGACTAGACGTCAAGTGAAGGGTCACACACACTTTAAACGGGATAGCCAGGTCCCGCCCCCTGCCTCTCACAGGCCCTCCAGATTTAGTACCCTGAACTTTTAGGGTTCTGGGGCCACTGTGAGCCAATCACACTTTGGACGGGAAAAGCTCTTGTTTCTTGAAGTTGCAGGGTTAAGAATGTAAAAGAGGTAAAGCCAGAGTTTTTTAAGCACTTTTGTGATCTGGGTCAAAGGTAGAAAAAAATCTGCAGTACACAATGGGAGATGCAAAAAAATGCAGAGAATATTTTAACCATGTCTGTCACCTGGTTTGTTAAAACTGAGATTTTTAGAGGTAGAATGTAAGAGAGAACTGTGACACACTGTGAAGGATTCGTACTGAAAAGAAAAATACATACACACACACACACACACACACACACACAAATCTAATTATTGCATTGGCCCCATAGCAGCTTTCGCTGAGCTCTTTAAAATACCTCCACTAAAATGCTGCTAAAATTTAAAAAGAAATGCAAATAAAGCTACAAATCTTTCAGCTCGTCAGTGCACACTGCTGATTTCTATTTAGGCCTTCAGACAGTGCACAAGGAGGGGGAGGCAACGATTTTAAAGCAGGTTATGGGTTTTGTGATGATGGCGTTTCAATCTGAGTGTGAAACTCAAAACCGGGAGAAAAATGCTCCCTCCAACCCTCCACCCCTCTCTGCCCCCACCCCTTCAGCCAGTGCCCTGAATAGCAGGCAGATTTTAGGCCTAGAGAGTACAGGGAGGCAAGCACCCACACATCCTGGTGCTTGATAAACACAACCTGATGCTCCTTATATGGCGGGCGGTTCCTGAAGGGGAGGGCCTGAGGTGAGAGGCAGGAGAGGAGGATAGGATGCTGAGGAGGGGAGCAGCCGTAAAGAAAGGGGAGGGATGTTTGCTTTTGAGAAGTGGTGGGGGGCTTTTGCAGGCTATATACCCGGCGGGAGACGTGCATTTTCTAACAGGGGAATAAACTCATATGCTCTGTGACTGACTCGAGCCTCGGCCTGGCCGACTGCTCGGCTTCACCACTTACGCTGGGGATGAACCACTGATTTGTGCGCTGGAAGACAGCCTTGGGAAGATCAATGACATATTGTTATGACAGGCTTAGGCAGAAAACAGCTTGGAAGAGATCAATTTTAAGCCAGATAACTGAATATTTCCTCAGACATGACAGCTCTGTAGTGTTGGAATGAGACAGTGAGGTTGGTGTATGGCACTATCTGTGCAAATAGAGGTATTTCGAAAGGCATCGTGGGAGCTAGTTTGAAGTTGGGACTGGAACTGGAAGATAGACCAGACTAGTTGGAGTCAAACAAATGTGTGTGTGTAAAAGAAGGATGCTGTATGTGGTGCAAAAAGTGCATGTGCTTGTGTGTTAGTGTGGTCATGGATGCGTGTGTATCTGAGAATCGTGATGAGAACTGAAAGAGAAACGAAAGGACAAAACAGATAAAAATCAGATGAGATAAGACGTGTCAGGCATGCATGGCAGAATAATTTGCAAAGATGAACAAGGAGAAAGTGGATTTATTTAGAAAGAACAGGGTGGAGAAGATATACAGTTCTGAGGAGGAGGAGGAGGGTGGGGGTTAAAGCTAAGTGGTGTAAGATTTCTGGAGGAACGGCAGCTGCCAAGGAGACAGCTGGGTGAAGGCCAGGGGAAAGTGCCTTCGTCTTAAAAGGTTTGAACGGATATTTATAGATATCCTCACCAAGCCCCAAGCTTTCATATGGGAAGGGAAAGAGGAGGTGGGGGGGGACATTTCAGAAACAACATCAGATTCATAATTGTACAGGGTTTTATATATCTAGAGTTTGTTCCAAGCCCATTTCCACAAGCTATTATTTATTCTCTCTGAGGAAGGGTCACCAAGGAATGTTGAGCCTCATTACTGGACGTTCTCCATCATCTTCAGGAACTCTGGAGAAAGAAAGCGAGGGCAACAGTCAATTAACCAGTCCACCACAGATCCATCGGACTGATCAATGAATGACTGAGCAGATCAACAGTCTTAGTTATAGTTATTAGTCAGCTCACAAGCTGAGCACACTGTGTAGACAAAGCCTTAAACAAAACTAATCATGGAGAACATGTAATTGCAATGTGTAAATGTTCATCTGTACATGTAGTCTGTTTCAGCTGTGATCATTTTAAGATGAGCACTAATCTTTGTTTGTCTGCCAGATTCATGTGCTCACGGACTCAAGTATTACTTTCAGCCAGATGGTAAAATGCCTCAAAATGTATTTATATATCTTCGTGCAGACTTGTCACTTTGTAGTCCATTTCAAGTCCATATATTATGAAGCAGTTGGTATTGGTTTTGAGGTTAACAAAAGGGAAAGTTACCATAATCATTCTACCTTTTAACACCACAGAGAGTTCACAAAGATTTAGGTTCCACCCCATCTCTGATTACTAATGTTAGTCAACCAAAAAACATTTTATTTACAGGGAATAGTTTGGCATTTTGGGAAATATGCTTATTTGTTTTCTTACCAAG